AATAAAATTTAAAAATCAGTTAACTTTTTTTCCCCACTGGCCCTAATCCTCTTCCGTAACTCCTCGATGAGTTTTCTACATTATTTTAAAGAAAATATCAAATAAATGTATTGTCAGGTTGACTTTATGATCATTTAAATGTCCCTTTAGCCACCAGAGAAACCTCTTTCGTCCATGCCATCAGTGCTGCTGGGGTCATGTTCACTCTGACCAGGAACTGCAGTTTGGGAGACCTGGAAAACTGTGGCTGTGATGTTTCCAACAATGGGAAAATTGGTGAGGTTCACAAAATGACAGAGATAAACCCGAAGGTGCTGAATATGAATGTAATCATTAGTTCTCTGCATGCAAGGAGGCCGCGGCTGGTTATGGGGGGGCTGCAGCGACAACCTGGATTTTGGGGAAAGGATTTCCAAACAGTATGTGGACGCGCAGGAGACGGGACAGGACTCAAGAGCTGCTGTTAATCTGCACAACAACGATGCAGGACGCCTAGTAAGGACTTATTATTATTATTATTATTATTATTTTAACTAAGGCAGCCAGTTTGTTGCAGACGCACTGATTTCCTCTCCTCCCACCAGGCAGTGAAGGCCACAGTGAAACGCATCTGCAGGTGCCACGGCATGTCCGAGAGCTGCAGCCTGCAGACGTGCTGGACGCAGCTGTCTGATTTTAGAGAGGTCGGTAATTACTTAAAGATCAAATACAATCAGGCTCAGAAGCTGGACATCGACAAGAAGCGCGTGAGGGCCGGAAACAGCGCGGACAGCCGCGGCGCCATCCTGGACGCGTTTGGAAACGTAGCCCAGACGGAGCTCATCTACCTGGAGGACTCGCCCGATTACTGCAGGAGGAACGCCAGCTTAGGGCTCCAGGGCACCGAGGGCAGGGAGTGTCTGCAACCAGGAGCGGGGCTGAGCCAGTGGGAGCGCAGGAGCTGCCGCAGGCTGTGCCATGAATGCGGCCTGAGAGTGGAGGAAATGCGCACCGAGGTGGTGAGCAGCTGCAACTGCAAGTTCCACTGGTGCTGCAGAGTCAACTGCGAGGACTGCTCCCAGGTTATAGTCAAGCATGTCTGTGCAAAGAAGGAATCCGGGGAAGGCTTTGCTTCCAGGCGGAGACACCGTGGATCCACATGAAAAAATATATATGTACATTCTTTTATCTGCACTTTCTATTCATTTTTACGCACATATTTATGTTTCTCTCTTGTTTTAATAAAAAAATTCTGAAGAGTCTGATTGTGTCCATTCACAAAAAACATTAAAAAAAAGCTAATAAACAAATGAAACAAAAAAGTTTAGCATAAGAATGGACTGAATCCACTTAAAGAGGGGATTACACAGCTAACATGGAGCAGATCACACCTAACCAAGGTGTTGATCCTCCACTTTGATGTCAATGTGTATTGACTACATTCAGAGAGCTGAGATGCTTTCAAAGACAAACTAGGGAACCTTTTTTTTTAGCCAGAAGTAGAATGCATTTAGTCTGATAATCTTTCTGAGAAACATCCTACAGTCTATCACTAAAATCTACATCAGTCATTTTTTCTTAAAATAAGTGCATTTGTTCTTGGATTGAGGATGTAAATGAGACACTTTGCCAATGGAACAAGACGATTTACATTTAAAATAAGAAAACACAATTGCATTGTCTTATTTCAAGTGCATATTATCTAATTATCTTATTTTAATAATAAAAATACTAATTCCATTGTCAAACTATCTCATTTACAAACTCAAATCAAGGTTTTTACTTATTTGTAGATCGTTTTTCCAGTGTTGTAAAAGTAAAAGTTCTGACCAACAATCTGCATTGAACATATGAGACATTTACAACCAGGAAACAGCTTCAAAGAATGTCAAAGATTTCTAATCTTTTAATTTGAAAGTAATTAGGTCTGGAATGATCCTTATCTCAGCCTGCTGGTCTCAATGAGCCTTTTATTTGTTTCCTTCTCTTGACCCCCTGGAACTCTAAAAATCTTCCTCTCAGCTGGATGCGTCATAAATCTGCCAGGCTCTTATTGAAAGGTGGGATGTCAAGGATATTACCTTTTTCAGGGAGTCTGTGCCTGAGGGGGTGGAAGTTTACCAGGAATGAGGAGCTGAGAGACTGTAAATGGAGATGGGAGTTCACTGAAAAAAATTATGCAACCTTTTTCGATTTTACTTAAGCATATTTAGTTACTTTAACACTATTAGAATTTAGGACAAAACAATTGTCTTAAAGTAAATATGATTAGGTGAATGCCAAAAGTGGTTGCATTATTTTTTTTCAGTGTTCGGCGTGTCATTAAAAGACTCATAAGAGATAAAAGACGGTTTTATGTTTTATATCTTTAAATGTGTCTTTAGATTGAAAGAAAATGTGCACAAACTTTGCACAATCAAAACATTAAATAAATGATCACCCAACTTCAGAATATAATGTTTAACATCCAGTCTGCTGTGCAATAAAGAAGGAGACTGTCCTTCTTGCACCTAAATGACTCCTGATTCTAATATTATTTCATTTTAACATCAAAATCAGGCTCCTTTCTGCAGAACCGACCAATGATTCCCTTTTCCAACCATTCTTGACTTCCTGAATTTCACAAACGATACTTTGCCTTAACTGGTGCCGTACACTGGAAAAGTGTAACCTTGCTCAAAGTTTAAAAAATGACGTCCAGATAGCACATCTAAAATATTTGACTTTGCAGAATCTGAATTTTATCCCTTGTTAGGACCTGATTATTTCACGTTGATGTAAATCAATAATACTCCACGTGACCCAACTTAAAATCTTTGCCGTTCCAAACGATTTCATTTGATGAACCAAACTAATATATTGAAATTGAACCAACCTAATGTACTTACTTTTAACTAAATGAACACAAATTAATGTCCGTATTGACTCCAGTTAATGAATATACATATAACCAAATTATAATTTTCACATTCAATTTGACTTTACTTCAAAAATAAATTTCCATTTTCCATCTTATAAACTCTATAAAAAAAAAACACCTGGCCAACAGATTACTTTAAATGTATTTATTAATTGTTAATATAGCCGTAAATGGTCTAAATCCAGATGGTGTAAATTGACGTTAAGTAACCTCAGCAAACAGTAGCAGTTAGCATCTGTTGCTAACATGCTAGCCATAACAGCCCTCCTGCTCTTTATAACACTGGAGGCTGCGGCTGCCAGTGACGGCGGGTATCCAGTATTTAACTCGAACAAAACTCCACAATGTACCTTCAAGCAATGTTTGTTAAGCTCTGGATGTAGCCCTATTTAACGTGCGAGGGTTTTTGGCTAGCTAACGTTAGCGTGTCATAAAATTATCGGTAAATGCGTAAACCCTGTCACTACCCTATCCGTCCTGCACATGCGCAAACAGATATACATCCGGGTTTCCATAAATAATGTAATTATGGTACCAAAACTACTTATTTCTATCCTTAACTCACTAAAGAATAGTAATTCACATCTTTTAAAAAATTTTCTATGGCTTTTGTGAGATATCTTTGATGCTTTTTAGATTTTCTTAATGAAACTGCTTCTCTGAAGTCATCATGGGACACGCTCAGAGCAGTCCGGCAAAATATGATTAAACCATCTTTATCTGCATTTTATTTGCTTCTTTCTTTAGATTACACGCCATGTCGCTTAAGGTTAAAATGAAACGAAAACATAAAACTAAAACAGATTAGATTTATGTTTAAATCCAAAGCTAAAAAAGTTAGCCACAAGAAGTAGCGAAGGATCCTATTTCCGGTGCAGATCGGGCAGAGACGAGTGATAAAGGATTTAAATGCATTTATTCTCTCAGGAAATACATTATTAACACATCATATTTTGGTACGTTTACTATTTTTGGGGAGGGAAAACATAATTTAGGTCTTTTTAACAAAATAAATCGAGGATGACCCGAATGTATATCTGGATGCGCAACTGAGCTAACCTGACTATGCCAGATGGATTTGCTCCACATATCCATCTTCCGTTGAAGTAATTTTGGTAAGGGGCGAAAATACTGGTTAGCTGATTGGCCTATGTTGGTGATAGACGGGCCAAATAAACCAATCAGATCATCGAAGCATATGACGTACTAACAGAGCGACGACGAAAACCCAGGCACAAGCCAATTGATAGATCAAACTCTTGCCGAAACCAGTCTGGAGAAGAGCAAAAACATATTTTCCTCTGAGAAAA